TGCTTCTCCCTCTGCCTATGTCTCTGCCTCTCTCTCTGTGTCTCTCATGAATAAATAAAATCTTTAAAAAAAAAAAAAGCAAAAACCTATAATAGATACACAAAAGATAAAGGGATCATAACACTACAGAAAATCAAATCACAAAAGAAGAGAGCAAGAAGAAAGGAACTGAAGAACTACAGAAGAGCCAGAAAACAATGAACAAAATGGCAGTAAGTACATATATGACAATAATTACCTTAAATGTAAATGGACTAAATTATCCAATCAAAAGACATAGAGTACCTGAATGAATAAAAAACAAGACTTACCTAAATGCTACCTAAGAGATTCATGTCAGATATAATGACACACACAGACTAGAAGTGAATAAATGCAAAAAGATATTCCATGCAAATGGAAACCAGAAATAAAGTGGGTATCTCTACTTAGACAAAAATAGACATTAAAATAGAGACTGTAATAAAAGATAAGAGTGTAACAGTGATAAAGGATCAATTCAATAAGGGGATATAACATTTTAAATATCTATGCACCCAACATAGAAGCACCTAAAGTATATAAAGTAAATATTAACAAATCTAAAGGAAAAAACAGTAATACAATAGAAGTAGGGGACTTCTTTTTTTTTTTAAAGCAGTGTTTGTTTGTTTGTTTTAAAGATTTTACCTGTTTATTCATGAGAGACACGCAGAGAGAGGCAGAGACATAGGAAGAGGGAGAAGCAGCCCCCCCCCGCCCCCGTGGGCAGCCTGTTATGGGACTTGATGCCAGGACCCAAGGATCATGACCTGAGCCAAAGGCAGACACTCAACCACTGTACCACCCAGGTGCCCCAGTAGGGGACCTTAATACCCCACTTTCATCAATGGATAAACCATCCAGACAAAAAAAAAAAGAAGAAGAAGAAGCATCAGCCTTAAGTGACACATTAGGCCAGAAAAAATTAACAGATATACACAAAACATTCCATCCCCCAAAACCCAGAATATACATTCTTCTCAAGTGCACATGCAACATTCTCCAGAATAGATCATATATTAGGCCACAAAACAAGCCTTAATAAATTTAAGAAGACTGAAATCATATTAAGCATCTTTACCAACCACAATAGCACAAAACTAGAAATCAATTATATGAAAAAACTAGAAAATTCATAAATATGTGGAGATTAAACAACATGCTACTGGACCAATGGGTCAAAAAAAGAAATCAAAAGAAAAAAAATACCTCAAGACAAATGAAAGTGTAAATACAACATACCAAAACTTCTGGGATGCAGCAAAAGCAGTTTTTAAAATATTTTAAAATCTTTTAAAAGATTGTATGTATTTATTTGAGATAGAGTGAGAGAGAGGGCACACACACATGTATGTGCATGAGTGGGGAAAAGGGGGAAGAGAGACAGAGAAGCAGGCTCTTCACTGAGTAGGCAGCTTGATGTGGGACTCGATCCCAGGACCCTGGAATCATGCCTGAGCTGAAGGCAGACGCTTAACCAACTGAGCCATCCAGGCGCCCTGCAAAAGCAGTTCTAAAGGAAAGTTCATAGTGATAAATGAGGTAAACAACCTAACTAGAGGAACTAGAAAAAAGAGCAGAAAAAAGAAAGCTCAAAGTTAGTAGGAGGGCAATAACGAAAATTAGAGTGGAAATAAAAGAAGGTAAAAGGTCAATGGAAAATATCAATGAAACTAAGAGCTGGTTCTTTGAAAAGATAAAACTGACAAACCTTTAGCTAGATTCATCAAGGAAAACAAATTCAAATAAAATCAGATATGAAAGAGGAGACAGAACAGATAATATACTAAGAATCATAAAAACCTACTAGAAAAAACATATGTCAAATAAATTTGACAACCAAAAGAAATGTATAAATTCCTAGAAACATGTAACCTACTAAGACTGAATAATGAAGAAATAAGAGCATCTGAACAGAACAATTACAAGGTAAGGAGATTGAATCAGGAATTAAAGCCATCCAACAAACAAAATTCCAGGAGCAGATGGCTTCACTGGCAGACTCTACCTGATATTCAGCAACACTTCTGAACTTGTTTTACAAGGCTAACATTACCCTGATACTAAAACCAGAGGACAACACAAGAAAAAATAATTATAGGCCAAAATCCTTGATAAAGATAGATGCAGAAACTCTCAACAAAATGTTAGCAAACCTAATACAATACAAAGGATCATACACCAGGGTGCCAGGATGGTTCAGTTGGTTGAGTGACTGACTCTTGATTTTTGGCTTAGGCCATCATCTCAGGATCCTGGGATTGAGTCCCACAATGGGCTCCATGCTTAGTGGGGATTCTGCTTGAGAGTTTCTCTTTCTCGGCCCCTCTCCCCACTTGTGTGCATTCACTCCTCTCTCTCTCAAATAATCTTTAAAAAAAATAAGATCACACACCATGATCAACTAGGATTTATTCCAGGGATGCAAGGATGGTTCAACATACAAAAAAATGTGTTGTAATATACCACATTAACAAAATATAGGATAAAAATCATATAATCATCTCAATGTTTACAGAAAAAGTATTTGACAAAATTCAGTATCAACCAAAAATGATCAAAAAAACTCAACAAAACATAGAGGGAATGTACCTCAACATAATAAAAGCCATAAATGAAAAACCAACAGCTAACATAATCAACAGTGAAAACCTGAAAGCTTTTCCTTACCACTCTTATCCAAGATAGTATTTGAGATAGTAGGCCAAAAAAAAAAAAAAAAAAGGCACCTATAACAGAAAGGAAGTAAAACTGTCACTATTTGCAGATGGCATGATATTACATGTAAAAAGCCTAAAGACTTCACCAAAAAATTGTTAGAACTAATCAACAAATTCAAAGTAAAGTTGTAGGATTCAAAATCGATATATCAAAAAACCCAAAAAAAAAACTATTGCATTTCTATTCAGTAATAATTAACTGCCAGAAAGAGAAATTAAAACAATTCCATTTACAATTGCATCAAAAAGAATAAAACAGGGCAGCCTGGGTGGCTCAGCTGTTTAGCACTGCCTTCAGCCCAGGGCGGGATCTGGCGGATCTGGGATTGAGTCCCATGTCGGGCTCCCTGCATGGAACCTGCTTCTCACTCTGCCTGTGTCTCTGTCTCTGTCTCTGTCTCTGTCTCTTGGTCTCTCATGAGTAAATAAATAAAATCTTTTAAAAAAAAGAATAAAATGCCTTGGAATAAACTTAACCAAAGAGGTGAAAACCCTGTACTCAGAAAAGTATGACATTCATTTGTGAATTAAACTGAAGAGGACACAAATAAATGGAAAGATATACAATGATCATGGATTAGAAGAATATCGTTAAAATGTCCATACAACCTAAAGCAATGTACAGATTCAACCCCTATCAAAATACCAACAACATTTTTTACTGAAGAAAAATCCTAAAATTTGTATGGAACTACAAAAGACCCGCCTAAATAGCTAAAACAATTTGAGAAAAAGAAAAGGCTATAGGCATCAAGTTCACTGATTTCAAACTCTATTTTAAAGCTATTGTAATCAAAACAGTATTGTACTGGCATAAAAACAGATACATATATCAGTGGAACAGAATAGGGAGCCCAGAAATAAATGCACACACACAATCAATTCATTTATAGCAAAGAGCCAAGAGTATACAATGGGGAAAGGACAATCTCTTCAACAAGTGGTGCTGGGAAAAACAGACAGCCACATGCAAAAGAATGAAACTGCACCATTGTGTTATGGCATACATAAAAATAAACTCAAAATGGATGAAAGTCTTAAGTGTAGGACCTGACACCATAGAAGCTTAGAAAAAAGCACAGGTGATATGTTCCTGAACACTGGTCTTGGTGAGCATTTATGGATTTGATACCAAAAGCAAAAGAAACAAAAGCAAATATAGACAAGTGGAACTACGTCAAATGAAGAAGCTTCTTCCTGCAAAGGAAATGATTAACAAAATTAAAAGGCATTCTTGTAGCAACATTTTTCTAGATAGGTCTTCTAAGGCAAGAGAAATAAAAGCAAAAATAAATTATTAGGACATCAAAACAGAAAGCTTTTGTACAGTGAAGGAAACAATCAACAAAACAAAAAGAGAAACTACTGAATAGGAGAAGATATTTGTAAATGATATATCCAATAAGGGGTTAGTATCCAAAACATATAAAAAAAAACTCATACAACTCAACACCAAAAAGCTAATCCAATTTAGAATGGGTAGAAGACATGAACAGATATTTCTTCAATGGCCAATAGATGTCCAATAGACACATGAAAAGATGCTCAACATCATTATCAGGGAAACACAAATCAAAACTGCAGTGAGATATCACCTCACATCTGTTAGAATAGCTATCATCAAAGAGACAAGAAATAACAAGTGTTGGTGAGGATATGGAGAAAAGGGAACCCTCACACACTTTGGATAAGAATGCAAGTTGGTGTGGCCATTATGGAAAATAGTATGGAGAGTCCTCAAAAAATTATAAATACAACTACCATATGATCCAGTCATTGCACTTCTGGATATTTACCCAAACAAAAGGCAATCAGTAACTCAAAAAGCTATATGTACCCCATGTTCATTGCAGCATTATTTACAATAGCTAAGACGTGGATGCAACATAAGTGTCCATCACTGGATGAATGGATAAAGAAAATGTGGTATGTATGTGTGTGTGTGTGTGTATATATATATGCGTATATATATATAGCCTATGGAGACAATAGGCTATATCACAGGATGAAATTGTGAATGCAGCCAGAGTAGCCAACATACATCCTTTCATCAAGACCCTACCCCATAAACATGAAACGAGTGGGAGATAAGGGAACTCAGCTCTCAGGAGGTCAAAAACAGAGGATTGCTATTGCTCGAGCCCTCATCAAACAACCTCAAATCCTATTGTTGGATGAAGCTACATCAGCTCTGGATACTGAAAGTGAAAAGATTGTCCAAGAAGCCCCGGACAAAGCCCGAGAAAGCCGGACCTCATCATGACCGCCCACCACCTGTCCACCATCCAGAACGCGGACATAATAGTGGTGTTTCAGAATGGCAAAGTCAAGGAGCATGGCACGCATCAACAGCCGTTAGCAGAAAGGCATCTATTTTTCCATGGTCAAGGTCCAGACTGGGATACAGAACTTAGGAACTCTTGCTATATCTTAAAAATAAATTCAAAATAAAACTAAAACACACACACACACACACAAACACACAGTGGAATCTTATTCAGTCATAAAAAAAGAGAAAATGTTGTCATCTGCAACAACACGGATAGACAAACCTAAATGCTAAAATAAGTAAGAGAGAGAAGGATAAATATTCTGCAATCTCATTTATATGTGAAATCTGAAATAAAACAAAAATAGAAACAGAAACAAAATAACAAAACCCCAAGTCTATAGATAACAGAGAACAGGCTGGTGGTTGTCAGAGACAAGGAGTTGGAGGGTAGGCAAAATGGGCAAAAGAGGTTACAAACTTCTGGCTATAAATAAACAAATTGAAAAAAAAGAATGTTGATATGTGTAATATTTTCAAGTAATCAGTGAGACAAGCATCACAAGGTAGGATTTAGCAGCAAAACCACTGGCAACCTTGACAATAATAATTTTACGGAGGGTAGCAAACAGAGAAGTGAGAGAAGAGAGTAGGGAAGCAGAGTGCAGACCAATATTTTCGCATGTGTATATTTGAAAGCTAAAATGAAAAATAATGAAAATGGGGCAGCCCCCGTGGCTCAGCGGTTTAGTGTCGCCTTTAGTCCAGGGCGTGATCCTGGAGACCGGGGATCAAGTGCCATGTCAGGCTCCCCGCATGGAGCCTGCTTCTCCCTCTGCCTGTGTCTTTGCCTCTGTGTGTCTCTCATGAATAAATAAATAAAATCTTAAAAAAAAAAAGAACAATGAAAATGGAAAAAAATGGAAGACAAAAGAAAGTTGGTTTTCTCTTTAAACTATGAAAATTGATGCACCACATTAATAAAACAGAGGATAAAAATCATGATCATCTCAACAGATGCATAAAAAGCATTTGACAAAATTCAACATCGTTTCATGATAAAGATTTCCAACAAATTCAGTATAGAAGGAATGTTATCTCAACATAGCAAAGGTCATAAATGACAAGCCCGCAACTAACACCATATTCAAGCTGAAAGCTTTTCCTTAAGACCAGGAACAAGGCAAGTATACCCCCTCTTGCCACTTTTATTCAATATAGTATTGGAAGTCCTGCCAGAGTGATTAGCAAGAAAAATAAATAAAAGGAATGCTAAGTGAAAAGGAAGAAGTAAAATATTGTTTGCAGATGACATGATAAACAAATACTATATGATCTTACTTATGTGTAAAATCTTAAAAAAAAAAAAAAAGAAAAGAAAAGAAAACAAAGTTGATCTTGTGTAAACACAGTCTAGTGGTTGTTTCCAGGGCCTGGAGCAGGGATGGTGGGGAAGGTGGAGAGATGCTGGTCAAAGGGTGCAAGCCATTAGTCATAAGAAAAGTTCTGAGTATCTAATGTTCCACATGGTGACTACAGTTAATAACTGTATTGAAAACTTGAAATGTGCTAAGAGAATAGATCTTAAGTATTCTTACTACAAAAAGTAAAATAACTATGTGAGGTGATGAGTGTTATGATGAGTGACATGATAGTGGTAATCATGTCACAAAGTGTATGGACATCAAATCACCACACTGTACGCTTGAAATATATACAATTTTGTCAGTTAAGGGACAGCTGGGTGGCTCAGCGTCTGCCTTTGACTCTGGGCATGATCCCAGGATCCAGGATCGAGTCCCGCATCGGGCTCCCTGCATGGAGCCTGCTTCTTCCTCTGCCTGTGTCTCTGCCTCTCTCTGTCTCATGAATAAATAAATAAATATTTAAAACATTTTTTTTGTCAGTTAAATAAAGCTGGAGAGGGGTCCCTGGGAGGCTCAGGCGGTTAAGCTCTGCCTTTTGCTCAGGTCATGATCCTGGGGTCCCATCAGGGAGCAGAGGGAGTAGCAGAAGCAGAGTAGAGTAGCAGAAGCAGAGTCTGCTTCTCCCTTTCCTTACCCAACCCCCGCTCGTGCTCTCTCTTGCTCGCTCTCTCAAATAAGTTAAAAAAAAAATAAAGCTGGAGAAAAAAATGTTTCCTTCTCTTACAATTTGTGTTCAAGAGACTTTAAAATCCCCAACACACTATTCACTAACCTTTCGAGTGACAAAAGTAATAGCAGGGCAAAGTCTTCAATTCATTTACAGTGGAATACCGAAGAAAAAGTACATTTGACTTCCACAGATTTTGATAGAACCTTTTCACACTTATGAAGTTATTTAGTGAGATACTCAATTATCTTAACAGAAAAGCAACTGTATCATATTGGGGTATTTTAAAGGTTTTGCTTAACCACCAGGGATCCAAGACCCACTTGAGTAAAAATACACATAGTTCTTTCCAGGTCTGAATGGAATCTGTAAAATGGGATTGGAAAGCCCTATTTCTTTATTTTGTGAGTGTCAAAATCCAGTTTAAAACAACAGTTTTAAACTTCTGGGGTGGCTGGCTGGCTCAGCTGTGAGAGCATGGGACTCCTGATCTCAGGGTTGTGAGTTCAAGCCCACGCTGGGTGTTAAGATTACTTATTTGAATGAAGGAATTAATGACTAAATAAATGTTTAAAAGCAAAACAAAAAACCAAAAACTATTGTTCTTCCTTTCCAACCAGGACCTAGCAGAATGGCTTCTGCAAAGGAGGGTGGTGAGAAGATGATCCTGCCCTCAGTGAAGTCGTAACCAGAAAACACACCATCAACAGTGATAAGCACGTCCATGGAGTGGATGTGCAAGAAGCATGTCCCTTGTGCACTCAAATCAGAAACTTTGCCATGAAGGAGATGGGAATTCCAGGTGTGCGTACTGACACCAGGATCAAGAAAGCTGTGTGAGCCAAAGGTACAAGGAACATTCCATTTAGTACACATGTGCGGTTGTCCAGAAAACATAACCCAACCGCCTGACCCACTGTAACCAAAGGAGAGCTCTTAAATGGCTGCCATCCTGAGGGCACACAGCAAGAGGCAACAGTCCAGGCATCCCAGTCTTTCTGTGAAACAGGCCCTCAGCTCATGGAACTGCTGCAGGCTGTGGGACAGGCTTCTAGTTAAGTACACATCTAAGGGCTGCAGACCCTCCTGGAAACCTGGGATGGTGAGGCCGGGATGCTCTCCCTCTGCCATACTCTAGAGGGCCACCCTCTCCTGGAGAGGAGTTCATACTCATCTGGTGACCCACCCACGGGATAACACTTGAGCACCTGGCTTTGGTGGCCGGGAGGGCTGAGTTCTTAGGCTGCACGAGACTCGCATATTTGGAGAGTCCTTGGCAGGCTACCGCCCTCAGGGCACTGCACAGATAGCAAACTGAAACACACTGCAAGTCCTTCTATGAGAAAGGCCTGTTTGTTTGCCAAGAGCTTCCGCCTGAGGGCAGGCTTGAGGTCTGGCATGCATGGAGCGGCCTGTGGGGGTGCTCTCAGGGAATGGAGGCTGGTGGGTGTAATCCTGTGCTCGTCTTCTGCTCCAGCTTACTGGTATCTCCCTGAAAGGAGCTTATACCCTTCTCTAATTGCTGCAGCTGCTGCTAGGAGACACCTCTAAGTCACCTGGCCTGGTGGCCAGTGGGGCTCACCCTTGTGGGTCCCACAGGGCTGTCAGCAACAGAAAAGGGTCCTTCAGTGGCTCCCCCCACCAGGGCACAACAAGAGGCAATAGATCCAGCAGCCCAATCTTTCTGTGAAAGAGGCTGATTAGTCTATGATCATAGCTGCAGTCTGAGGGGCAGGCTTCTAACTGAACACACACTGAAGAGCTGACTGTGATCCCTTTCTGAGACCTCCCAGAAAAGAAGGATACACTTGTCTGGTGCCCAAATTTGGGGGACTGGTGCCTTTGGGCACCTCTAGGTTCCCAGGCACTGGAGGCCAGTGGGACTTCTGCCTGTGGTCCTACAGGACTGTATATATTTGCATACTTTAGTGTAGCTGCCTCAGGGTCTGGCTTCCAATCAGCTCGAATCTAGGTGCTGAGATCCTCCCCTTTTGGGATAATGATGGGTTCTGGGATACCCTCACCTACTAGGAGTGATTAAAAATAAAATAGGCCGCTTGGAGAATCAGAAAGGTTTAAGAGACAGTGAAGAGCTAGGGCATTGTTGAGGCCATTCCTCAAAACTGGGAGAAGTGGCTGTTTTATCCAATGCATAGAAACTGACACAGCATTGGGGCATCTGGGTGGCTCAGTTGGTTAAGCATTTGACTCTTGGTTTTGGCTCAGGTCATGATCTCAGGGTCCTGAGATAGAGCCCCATGCCGGGCTCCACATTCAGTGTGGAGTTTGGTTGAGATTCTTTTTCCCTTCACCTTCCACTCCTCCCCCTGTCGGTGTGCCCTCTCTCTCTTTCTCACTCTCAAATAAATAAATAAAATCTCAGAAAGAAAGAAAAGAAAGAAAGAAAGAAAGAAAGAGAAAAAGAAAAAAGAAAGAAAGAAAGAAAGAGCATGTCAAGGAAAGTGAAGAAACTGAGGACTACAGAACAAGATAGAATCTCAGAGAGAAAATTCTTAATGAAATAGAGATAAGTGATTTACTTGACAAAGAGTTCAAAGTAATAGTATAAAGAAGTTCACTGAACTTGGGAGAAGGATAGAGAGAGAGAAAACGTAAGAAAGTACCAAACGGAAGTCTGATCTAGAGCAATTAGGCAAGAAAAATAAAAGGCATCTGTATCAGAAAGGAAGAAGCTGTCACTATTTGCAGATGACATATTATATGTAAAAACCCTGAAGACTTCACCAAAAAATTGTCAGAACTAAACAACAAATTCAATAAAGTTGCAGGATTCAAGATCAATATACAAAAAAAAAAAAACCCTGTTGCATTTCTATTCAGTAATAATGAACTATCAGAAAAAGAAGGAAAAAAAAGCCTATTTATAATTACATCAAAAGGAATAAAATAGGGCAGCCCAGGTGGCCCAGCGGTTTAGCACCGCCTTCAGCCTAGGGCATGATCCTGGAGACCCAGGATCGAGTCCCACGT